ACATTTACTAAGAACGTCATTACCTAACTTTTCTTTAACCAAATTTTCAGAAAAATCCCATAATTTTTTAGCCAATTCTTCGTCTTTACCAAAATCACTAGTTTCACCTAATTCACCATAAGGTATAAAATATTTTCCACGGTGATTTTTTTCTTCAATTTCAGGACTTGTAGCGCAGTAAAGCTGAGTTAACGCGCCATCATCAGGTGTTAACAAAAATATTGCTGAAATTGTATCAACAATTGGTTTTATCCAATAACCCCAATTGGAAACAAGTCCACGGGTTAGTTCTGTATTTATAGCACCTAATTTAATTTATAATGCAATTATAAAAATTAAAATGATGTAAATTAGAATAATTTATTCTAAAAATATAATTACAGTAATTAAAAATATTAATTAAAATATTGGATTGAATATTAAATTGAATTTTTTCTTTTGTTACCTGGATGAAGACAATTACAATAAACGTTTGTTCCTGAAAGTTTTTTATTAAGTTCAAGGGTAAATAAAATATTTGCAAGTTTCGACTGAGTATATCTTTGAAAAGAAGTATGACCATTCGGATCATTCAATTTGTCAAATTCGATTCCTCCTGGTGGTGGATAATGATGACCAAGACTATAATCATAATAAAATGTTAAAAAATATCATAACTTTCAATATCTTGATTATCTTGATACAATATTTAAGTTTACTACCTGCTAACATTGACTATACGCGATGGAGCTGAAGCCTTGATGGTTGGCAACAATAAGAGAGTGAAAAGCTATTACGGAATTCATAAAATGCGCATTAACGTCTTTTTTTTAAAAAAAATAATTACGTGCGGCTCATTTTATTTCATTTCATTTAGTCGACATTACACAAACATGTTATTGGTTTTAAGTATACTGTATACTGTTAATAAATTTTCGTTTAACATGATGTCGGCTAAGTAATCTGTCGGTAAAATAATTCAAAGATCTTTTAAAAGATCATTTACTTACAAAATGACCAATATGATTAACACCAAACTGGTCTTGAATGCCATCTTGAGTTAGTCCAAATGGGCTTTGATATGAATCTAAAAATTAGAATAATAACATAAATTGCGCATGAGAAATAATTAAAAAAAAAAACTTACGTTGAAAAGATACCGGCATTATTAACTCTATGAAAATAAAGTAATTAAAGTTATATTAAATTCCGAATTAAACAATTATCAATAAACCATTTTACTTACAGAATATGCAATGGTAATTTTCTAGCCAAAAATGTTTCAGCAGATTGTTTAACAGAACTTAAACTTTGTAGATCCAATTGCAAAAATTCGACAGCATCTTTATTTGTTTCTTTCTTTATTAATTCAACAGCTGATTCACCTCTTTCTTTACTACGACTTGCAACAAATACATGAGCATTTTTGCGAGCTAATTCTCTAGCTGTCACAATTCCTATACCAGTATTTGCTCCTGTTACTATCGCAACCTTATTTATTAATTATTTGAGAAATTACAATAAATATGGTATCTTTAAATAATCATTGAGAACTTTTAACTTACTTTGCCCGAAAGATCTGGGATATCTTTAAAAACAAAGTGTTTTCTACTGAACATTGTTAATGATATGAACTTTTGACGAAAAATTTATCGTTATTTAAATATTCAAAGATTAACTATAGATTTGAGCCCCTTGTATTACAAAACGGGATTTCTGAATTTCCGAGTTTATGTAAATCAATAGATTACTATTAGCTAAGCGATATTACTAATTTTTAATTAACCTATCAAAAAATGTTTTCATATTTTGTAATACGGTCTCTGATCCAATTTTGGTATGTAACGGTAAAAAAAAATAAAAATAAAAATAAATGTAATGCAGTCTCTGATCCTACGTATTGTATATACGTACGTACGTACGTTGCATTACTTGAATGTGTGTGTCAGGTTTATGGTGCAGCATAAATTCTTTAAAGTTCGTTTATGCTAGAGTCAGTGTTATGGCCTAGAGAAGTATAGTTTGTATAGTAAAAATTGCCCAACAAAAACTTTTTGTTAGAGCACCAAAAGTTGTTTTTTATGTAGAATTTCGAGAAGTAAGCGAAACCAAACATTTGTTTTGAATTTTCTTGATCGTGTTACGTTGCACTTGATCTTGAAATCTGATTCGTAATTCAGTAAATCTGCGCCACAAACCTGGAACACTGTCACGGGACAATTGTGGACAGTAGGTTTGGACACTTTGGACAATTTTGGACAATTAAATAAATTAAAATTACTCGAAATTTTATTAAGATGACTTAATTTCTAAGTAAAATATGTTCAGCACCTAAAAAAAATATAAGGGGGTGGAGGGTATTCTGGCGCACCTAAGCTGCGTTGCTAATTAAAAGTTTATAAATTAATATTTATTTCTAAAATTCAT